GAATTTCTGTTATTAAATATGCACGCGTTCTTCTTGGCTTAAATTCAGTATATTTTGTAAAATGGTGACCTATCTTTGGTTTTAAAGGAATCAGCTACCAGCTGTCCACCCATCTCACGAATTATATCCGCATATTCACTTCTTGCGACAGCGTGCTTATGCCGATATATTTGTAAACTTTGCTGCCTTCCTTTGCTGCAGTATTCAAGATTGCTGTCATTTTATTAAAATGATTCTTTACCGGTCGAAAACCTTAGTTTCACAGGGTGAAAGAGTCTACAGTGCTATCACTGATGTTCAGGTAGAGGTGACTGTCAGCTGCGGAATTCTCCCTCTCTTCGGGGGAATGTTTACCTTAGGAAGATGAAGATCTCGCTTTTTTCATGATCCGCAAGTGCCACGAAGGTGTGACAAACAAATCAACAATATGATAGCTTGTAACAGGCTAATTAATTATTTTAAAAGCCCAAAAAGCAGGCCAAAAAAGGAAATGCTAGAAGCTATTGGAGAGAGTGAGTATGAAAATGAATCACATCAATCGACAAGCATCTAAAAAAGTCAGATACAACGATGACAAAAAACTAAGAACACATCGTAAGCCTTTGCGATGTAGAATAAACAGAGTCAAGTAGGTCAAGAACAACTTTAGACAGCCTGTTGTTGTTTCAACAGTCCTTTGTCTGACTCTACGGGTTCGCCGGTAACGACAGCGATTTCAGCCGGTAAACAAAGACATACTCATTATTATTTACACTGCTAAATATGGAACTTGAAGAAACCGTCGTTTTCGAAGGAAGAGCTTAGCAAACAGATGAAGCGAAGGGGTGTAAGTAATTCAATACGAAACATCACTAACAGGATCATATGGATATTAATCAATAGAGAAATGCAGTTTAAAGCTACGGTACAATCTCCATTTAAAAAATTATGGAGGTTCTGGAACACGAATCCCACTTTCAACGCACAATAACCCATGCACATAAAATGACCATCGTCATTAGCCTGTTTCTGTCTACTTCTGGCTGAAGGTTTCTCCAAGACTTTGTCATGAACTTATGTTTTCCGCCATTATTATCCGTTTGAATCCGGCAAACTTCTTCAGCTCATCCTGTGATCGATCTGAAGGTGTTCTTACGAGCTGTTTACTCTTTCCGGGAAGTCAATCTAAAGCTTTTCGTGTCGGTTCTTCCTGCAACGTGCCCTACCCATTGAACCTTTAACAATTTCACACAGGCGAAGACATCACAATCTTGTTTGCGCCCTTATCAATTCATTCGTCTTCCTATCATTTCTTGCAACTGCCAACAGACATCTTTCAATGTTGCATTGCGTATGTTTGTAGTTTCGTCCAACTTTCAGGCTGAGGGTCCACGTTAAGGCTTTTGCACCCATAAGTAAGCATTGAGAGCAAACACTGATCAAATAGTTTCCATTTCGAGCACAATGGTGGTTTCCCGGATAAGAACATTTTCAATCTTCCACAAGTACCCCACGCCATTTTCACTTTTCGGTTGATTTCACATTGCCTGTTCTCCATTACAGAGATCAGCTGTCGCGGATAAACGCAATTTTGACACCTGTTCAAGCCTAAGTGCGTTGATGTCAACAAGTTATGGAGTAACGTACTCAATAAATATGACCTCAGTCTTTTTCAGGTTCATTTTCAGTCGTAACGTCACGCTGGCATCGTTCAGCTCCTGCATTCTTGTTTGAAATGCTTCTGGTGAACTTCAAAACATCAGAATGTATAATGCATCATCATACACTGAAAAGGGAACAGCAGTTCACGTTCCAAATTCTCTGTAACTTTATATAAAGAGTTAGCAGAAGCTTTGAACCGTTTCATGCTACTGAGCAAATGTGACGAATGTTTCGATGTTTTACTTTTCACAACCGGTAACAGTAAAGGCTGGTTTTTAGACCAACGCATTCAGTCAACTGGAATCTACAACGTTTTTTTAATTCGAAAGCGTTCTAGAACACAATTTCAACGAAACGAGCAAGTCGTTTTCTACAAGTTGGCTTGTATTTGCGCAGAAAATCAGCCGAATAAATTTTTTGTCTGCCACAGCGATTAAACTTGAACATAAACCGGACAGATATCGTACGGTGCCGGCTAGAGCGCGGCTAAGACTGTTCCAAATACGGAAGAATGTCAAGCAGATGCTTTGGAGCAAAAGCTGTTTCATCAGAAGCATGCCTGAACAGCATAAAAACTATGCGATTACATCATAACATACTTTTAAGTAAGATCCATAGTATTTGGTGACATATGGACTATCGCACTGCGAGAGAACCATGATCTCCTGCTGAATATCCTCGATTTCATCTTCCGCTTCTTCAAGGTCGATAATCTTGATTGCGACTATCTGCCCCGAGCGATTATCAATTGCCTGGAACACCTCACCGAAGCTTCCTCGGCCGATTCTGTCCAGTCGAGTGAAAATCGTTTCTGGGTCCACTTGCTACAAAAATAACACTTCAGACGCAATTGTTTATTTCACTGCTGTAAAAGGCAATACGCAGAAAACAAACCGCATTACAGTGACATAAAATGCACAAAAAACTAACAATGATAACCACTGCTGAATCTTCAACTTCCGATGACCACTGCATAAAATTCTATCGTTTACCATAAAGACCTATTCGTCTCTACACATTAATTTCGATATTTGAAGTTAAGTACCGAATTATGAAACGCCAGAAAGCGGCTATACACTGAGAATTTCAATCTGACTACTGTACGATTCGATGGTGCACCCGCCAGTTAATGATGCGGTACGTCTGTGAGGTTCGTGCAGTTCGTAGGACATAACATTTGAAAAATTACAACGACCGAGCGCGATGCTCGAACATTCAGTTTTCAAATCTACAACGAGAATCGGAACAACATCGCCAGCTTAGCACGAACGCACACGACCACTTTGAGAGTAACGTGTTTCATGCGTTGGGGTCATCTGAGAACACGTCATGCTTTGAAAGCGTGAATTAGAAGGTCCGTCCCCAAATCCAAAGAAAAATTATAAACTTGTTAAACAAAGACAAGAGATAACAAAACAAAAGGCGATAAAAAATCGACTATATAAACTGTTTAATTATTCAGAATTAAACGGCGTAACCACACCGTCCACT